TATTTTATTTCAATGCAGAACTACATGCTGGCAGACTTGTTGAAGAAAGCAGCAAAAAAGCAAAGGAGAGGGCAAAGACAGTTGTTGTAGGTGACATGGAACCACTTTTATCAGCTCTACCAACCATAAATATACCAGATCTTACAACAAGCACAAAATCCTTTAATATTGGGTGAGTTGATAAAAAGGGTATGCATGATTGTGCCAACTACAATGTGGATTCAATATCATAAAGAGAATCAATAACAAGTTGTCTTTTGTCTCATGATGTGGTTGCTTAAAATGTGGAATAACTGTGACATTTCTACCAAATAATTCTAGACTTCTTCAGGTGTTAAGGTAGACTACAAGCATTCCCTTCTTTTCAGAAAAGTTTGTTGTGCATGCAGAACAAAATTTATGGAAAAAATTGCTGTTTGCATGCAGAACTCTAGGAGTGAGACCTACTTTTGTGTACCTCATATTTCCATCTAGATTTCCATGTGGCGTGCTTATGTCAAAAATATTTTTACTCATTTTCTTTAACTTGCACAATGGACATTGTCAAAAAAGCAGAGTTCTCTTAGCCTTGTGCTGAGGTTGATCTCCTAGCCTGACTAAGTCTAGCAGTATGCCGTTGAATTAGATTAATGAAGCTTTTGAGAATGAATGATTGAATTTGCAATGTGCACATGCTGTAGCTGCTTGAAAGAAATTGATTTAGGTCAGCATTTTAGGTTGTAAAACACTTTTGTGAATGCTTTAGCAAATTTTGGGTATTATGCACAGTGATTTGGAAAGATTCCTTTGTTTTTGGATCATATTTGTATATATTTTCAAATATCCTGACTCTCAATCATCTATTCAGCCTAGTCCAAATAATTGAGGTTTGATTATATTAATGATATTTGTAGCTTATCATGATGAATAACTATTCACAGCTTTTTTTTTTTTTTTAATGTGTTTGTTATTATTCTAATTTCCTACAGCAATGGAAAAGAGAAGTTTGCCAAAAATAGGAAAAAGATGAGTAAAAAATCCCGCCAAGCTCTACAGTGAGTGTCAGCGCTTTGTTTGCATTTCAACAATGACTTACAGGATTCTTCGATTAATCCTAATATATAGATTTAGCCAAGCCTAAAAGTGGAGCTCGCATTTTTTTTCCCCTCACGTCTCAAGGGCACAACACCTTACCTGGGCCAGGACTAGAACACAGGTCATCCTACTTGGAGCCCAGTGCACTGATCACTGAACTACTGAACAAAGCCGTGGCATTGGCGTGCCTGCGGTACAGTTGACCACGCATGTTAAAAGTAGCACCTTGTATGGTTGTATGGTCGTACATCCAAATTTTTTCTGCTTGATGGGTTACTACTATTTTGTATAATTATGGGGCTACGTTCTGCGAGCTCTGCTATAATTTTTAACATTGGTGCTGAATATGTGATATTTTTTTCTTTATTAACTTGCAGCACCAGTGAAATTGCCCATTTTCAGGAAGTTGTTAAACATCCAGCCTTCAAAGCCGACCCACTTGCTGCCATTTCTGAACATATTAAAAATGCTATACAGAGAGAACATGAAAATCAGACTTCGGGCTAGAAATTATATTGTCAACTGGGTTTAAAAATCAGCTAAATAAAATTTTGTTTTATCATATCAACAGACTACATTAATGTATTTTTTAAGATTTAAAAAAAGAAGCACAAAATGTCACAAGGAAAATCTTTGTTTTTTCTTGGCTTTACTACTGGCTAGCATGTGCAGACACAGGCATCCCAAGCTCACGTCACAAGATGTAAGCTTGGGACACTTGTGGTGCAGATGAAATTTACACATGTGCAGGGCTGTCACAAATGAGGGTTGCTTGACATTACTTGTTGCTTGCTGTTACATTAAACTTTGTCATGTATCACTATGCTACAGGTGATATCTCCAATATAGAAGTTGCTCCAAACTAGGCAACAGCCCTGCACAGGTGGGTTTGGCAGAAATCGATGATTACTTTTTGTAGTTTACTTCAAGTAAATGGTGGTCATTCTTCTGGTAAAGAATTTTGATTCTATTCCATAGTAAAGAACAGAGGAAGGAAGAAGAGCCCAATGAAGTGAGGGGAAAGCTAAGATGTAGTCAAGTACTAAGCATATTTCAGTGTTTCTTCTTGTCCAGCTGTATCCAGTTCAGCTAACTGTGCTGAAAATTTTTAGCCGAGTACCAATATGTAGATTACCGTAGTTATTCGGTTATAAGGCGCACTCGGCTATAAGACGCACCCCCAATTCGGCAACTTCATTATTGCATGTTTTCAAACTGAGAAAATCGCTAAAATACTTGGTTATAAGGCGCAAATTTGACTTCGCTTGTCTTTTCAGAACCACCATATTTATAAAAGTCAATGTGTGTGTGTCATTTTATTTGCTTGAAATCGTACCAGTAACTGTGATCAAAAAAAATTGTTTCGGGAAAATATTCGCCTATAAGACGCACCCAAACTTTGGCGGTAATTTTTAGTAGAAGTTAGGAATTTCTTGAAAAAAACGGTGCGCCTTATAACCGAATAACTACGGTACTCTACATTTCCAATCTATTTTTGGAACGGCTGATTTTAGATTTCGATCCCCGCCCCAATCTTTTTGCACCCATCACAGCCTGAACACCCGACTCTTAGCGAAAACAAAGGGAACATGCGCGAAAAATATCAGACGTGCGTGACCTCTCGCTCGCGTGTGCTGGAGTGAATCTCCCAGTCAGTTCCGGTCGCATTAAGCATGAGGTCTTCACTCCAAAAAGAAAAAAACATATTCTCGGTAACAATTATTATCATGTAGTTATGGCGGTAATCAGTGTCCAAAGTAGTGGGGGATACGCCAGCTTCTTTCAGGGAGTAACAACGAGATTCGACGGTCTCACAACTTCTACTTGTTTGCGTGACACTCAAGTAAAGGAGTACTGGAAACGAATTGACGGAGAAGCCTAGCATATCTGGTGCAACCAGTACAACCAACAATGTAAGGGCGGTAAGTGCATGAGAGCAAACTTTGTAGAGCTTCTTTAATTTTTTTTTTAATAGAAGTGACTTTACCTTCAATCTTTCCTTGACGACGGATTTATTGATACTGTGCTCTGCGTTGAATAAATGTTTACCCAGTAGTTATTTGACTAAACGAGCTCAGCTTGATAGGAATTGGAATAAATTAGGTTGTTAATTTGTTTTCTGAACGCTTGCATACTCGATGTGGAAGAACTCTTGATAGATCTTACTACAACTACATTTAATTTGGATATCTTATCTAATCAACAAAATGCCGATCGTTTGCCAAGCTAAAAGCGCTGACCCAAGTAAGTTCTTTTCCTTGGATACAAGAAATTTTCCGCTTCTTTCTCGTTTCGTAAACTATTTGAAAGATCTACCGCAGTGCTCTCTGCGTACTAATGTAAAATTTTTAAATTTGCTGTCTTATTGAGAAAAATTCAATAACTGTTTACAGCATCCCAAGGGAGATTTCACTTTTGTTGTATGAATTGACTGAGACGAATACTGATAGAGAAATAGATTTCTCTTCTCACCCAGATGTAACCATGAGCAGGTAATTTCAGCTTTGTGAGCGTGTAATTGATCGGCGCTTTTTCTACTTTTTTCCAGCCTTCCAAAGGGTCTTATCTTGCCTAGAACAGATTCGTCGTAAGTTCGATAGCCATCAAGATCAAGATGCAGACTTCCAGTTTTTGGGCAGCAGGAATGACTTTTGGAAAATTTTCAAGGTTACTATATCAGCATCTGAACCTTTGTACCTCACAATCTAGTACTAGATCTCAAGTTGTCAAACAGTGGTGTTAGCTCAACATAATGCGGAGAAGATCAAAACAAGTCTGACCTCAAAATTATTTTGTACCCTTCAATTGGACCTCTAATTTAATTTCATTTATCCATGATCTGTGTGTTAATAGCACCTTTAGTGAGTCAGAAAGATGATGAATTTGTGGCTTTATCATAGAATTAAAGAATATGTTATTTTAGGCATATAGCACAGAACAAAGAAAATAGTATCACTCTGAGTTTTATTTGGCAAATTATTCAGTATTGAACTACTGCCACTGCAAGTGAACAAGACAATTAACCCTCTAATTTCCAGATGTGATTAACATGTAACTTCTCTCTTTAATATGCATACACTATCCAGCATACAGGTAGTAGGAGTATTTAAACTAATACCAGATAGAAGTTTTAACTTGATCTAACACCAAATTCCCATCGCTAACTTACTAGCAAATGTGTAGTGACTAGTAGGGAGAATTAGTAATCAGATCTTGGGAGTTACAGGGTTGATATGCCGTTGTTTAGTGGTGTCAACTGTGGCAAGATAGTAAATTTTGCTTGGGCAAAAGAATTTAAAGATTTCAAGACAAATTGATAACATTATTTCTTTAATGAGTTTGTTATTGAATGCCTTTCATGAACTTTGTAAACAAGCACCTTATTCATACTGAACTCCACCAAACAAGGTTGTCATTTTTATTTCTTTGTCATAATTTATGTTCAAATATTAACAGTTCCATGACACAGAGAAGGAAAAGCTTCATGTTGAAGGCAAGAGGGCAGTTGATCTTGCAGACCAGGTTTGGTTATATCAATGACTAAAAAGTGTTGTCCTTGCTCTCTCCTAATTAATTCTGATGATGAATAGCAATGTTGCCTCAATGAGTAAAAACTCAAGGCCACTTAATCCATTGCAGTACATTATTCAGCCAAAACACGAACAGTTAATGGTGGACAGTTTCAAACCAAAAATTAAATCAGACTTTCTTTACTTGGTATATCTCTCACTGTTTCCCTCATTCACTTGTCAGTTGATATCATTCACATTTCTGTGTGACCTTGCAATATTCTCAATTTTAGACTCATTTTATGTACTTTTTGTC